TTAAAATTTAATGAATCTAATTACGAAATTGCTTAAAGAAATTGTGGGGAAAGTTACGTTTTATAACTTAGCAAATTAAGCTTCATATAAATGGAAGACAAGAAGCTCGTTCTTCGGCTACTTTTGGGATTATAATGTTATTTATTTTATGGGAGAAATTATGGTTTGAGATTAAATTTCCGAGAGGTTTAATGTTTACTTATTCAGAATTAATTCTGTAATACCGAGCCGGTATTTATAATTATAAATTTCAACGCGCGGATTTTACATTCGCAACACAGTGTCTGCTGATACTGATTAGATAATTTTTTATTTATAAATATTTTATATGAAACATTATTGTTATGCTCCGATAACAGGACGGAAATTATCGATTAATTATCTTTCTATCTGACGAAAAGATCATGACACATAAAAGAAAATGAGATTACATTTTTGTTTTTATAAATAAGGTAGCGAATTTTTTGACGTTACTAATGTACGTATAGGCACAAGAGTTGTGGCTCTCTCTCTCACACTCACGTTGCCAATATTCCACGGTAATGTTGGAGTCAATATACCCGATGCATCGTGAAAATGTCGAATCGCGAGAACCGATGTAGATATCGAGCGAGAGCGCCCCAAGCGCTTTTTGCATGTCCTACTGTCAGCATCAGGAAATTCAATTCGCGAAATTCATCCGTCGCGCGAGACGAAGTCGGGGTCGAACGGAAATTCTTACAATTCTCCCGCTGGCGGGGGAGGGGGGCGGGGGAGAGGGAGGAGGGGAGGGAAGGAGGCGCCAAAGCGACGGATTTGAAAAATCTGTTTTCGCCAACGTGCAGGTGACGCCGGGGCTCCATTCTCCCGGCCTCGGAAGACGTCCTTTCTCGAGCCGAGTGAAAAATCGCCATAGGAAAATCCTCGGGGGATCACCCAGACGTCCGGGAGTTCTTGCAACGACGACGACATGAATCCGTAATATTTACGACGTCAGCGCTCTTGCCGTGAATATATGAACTCGTCAATGGTGTATTTACGCTGTAATCAAGCGAAAATATCACGAACGAGTCGATTGAATTCCTTTGTTCTGCTGCGTCACCCGTTAACTGTAGGAAGCGCGCGAGAAGAAATGGTTCTCTCGCTTATTTCTGACTCGTGCAATATTGCCGATATCTAATTACCAACTTTGATTTATACCCCTTTCAACATCCTCGCTGTTCCTCATTTATTAAGTGTTGTATATTGAAGTTAAGTTTAATTGACTTTTACGCGCCCTCGCCGCGGAAGAGGTACGGTGAAAAATTTCGGGGAAGATGAATATCTTCTGAGAAAGTAAAATTGAAGAGATCCTTGAGAAAACGGGAACCAAACGCTTTTTTTGCAGTAATTCGAGCAAGTAATAAATAAAAAAATATTATTTATTTGGTAAAATATTTGTACTTAATAATTACATATATCTCTTAATATAAGTTTCAATTTCTATCGCTTTTATTTTATTGATACATGCAGAACATATACATGCAAAATTGTTTATAAAAATGTAGTTAAAAAAGTTAGTTTAGCACAGTTTTCAATATTTCTTTTATTAATATTGAAAACATAAATATTTACAGTGATAAACGTAACTATATTTTTATAAACAATTTTGCATTTGTGTGTCAATAAAATATTATTATATCGATAAACGTCTCTCAATATCATCTTTAATTTTACCTTTTTTTTTGCCAGAATTTATCTTTCGTCGATTTTGCTTATATACATACAGTTTATCGAAGTGCACTACGTTTATTCAACGAATATGGTATCAATATCGTATTAGCCCTATCTTTTTTCGTGGCTCAACGATTTTTCTCATCCCATCATGCGATTTCGTACAGTTTTCCCAAACTTGCGATTCGCGCACACGCTCACCGTCGAAGTTTTCCCTTTTTTTTCCCCTCCAGCTTTTAATCACTCCGCACCGATCTCTGATATTCAATATGACTTTCGCACATAAGCAAATATTTGATCGGGTCTGGTCGGCGAATCTTGCCTATCTGCGGGATAATTCTCGTGTATTATATCATCCCGCGGTTGGAAAATTGGAAATCCCTTCGCGCGGATCAAGTTCGGGGATCGACTTTCCATGATTAGGCTTATTCCAACAGTCGTTTGCACAAGGGCGCGGTTGGTCGCCGCGGGCGCTTTCTCGAATAAGCTCGAAAACGCGCGAGAGCGCGATAATTATTTCAGTTTCTTTCATCGGCAAGCACTCTCGGTAATGAGAGACATTCTCCCAGCAGGCGCGGGTGTGCATATACGTCATCCTCGCTCCGTCTCGCACGTTTCGGATGGTCAGCATTTTAATCCAAGCAACAGATCAATGTGATGTCACAAATTGTCTCACTATTATCGGTTTTCGATGTTCCATTACGAATTCCAACACATTTGACACGTTAGCAATCCGTTGTGACCCAGTTTCCCGTATTTTTCTCATAACACGAATTTCCGGAATTGCTAGAAACGGAATTGCTTTACACCTTTTTATGCATTATTATTTGAAAGCAAATTTAAAAATTTACTTGGTAACGCGACCTAATGATTTTGATAAGCATATAAGATTGAGAGAACTAACCGATTTGACTGCCGAATATATTAGAGCTTAAATATATGCTTATTATACATGCGTATCCGCGATTTTAATTCGGAGCAGCGCGTGTTTCGTGAGGCGAATATTCGTGAGATATAATGCTTCGGCCGCGCCAACCGGCCCTTTCATGATAGCCCTCCCTTTCTTTCCCTCCCCCTCGTACATGCGATCTTTCTTTTGGTTTCTCGGCCTCGCGCGCAGCTACCCCCTGCTCCTTCACATCCGCGTTCTCCTCTCGATGGCGGCATGAAAACAGGTTTTGTCACTTCGTGCAAGCGCTGCGTCCGTTCGCGCAGGGGAGCGCGAGGATACGTGCAGATTAAACGACACGTTAAGCGCGATAGGCACAAATGGACGTAGTCATATGACTCTCCTGTGTTTACGTGTACACACGTACGCCGTTGTATGACGTTGTACAATAAGGCGCGTGCAAGAAGATCATTGCCGCGATGCTTCTCCGCGCGATGTGTCCTTCCTCCCGGGACTTCGTAAATCTGGGCGTCCAGGGGTCTGTTGCTGAAAGCGCCGTGTTATATGTCTCACGTTAACTGATCCCCAAGCGTAGGAGGTTGTTCGCTATATCGCAACGGGATATTTGTTATGCGCGCGTACGTATGGTACGAAAACATCCCAGTTATAACGCTACTATCTTCGCTGCACGTCGCTCTTTATGCGAAGAGGTAATAAATTACACGGGCTGTTAAATGGAATACTAGTACGTTGCCATAACATAAAATTTTATGTATTCCCTTTTACAGCGTTATAATAAATATTACAATAATGCAACTTGATTCTACATATATGCACGCGAAATTGATGTATATTATGAGAAACCAGGGTTTATGTATTATGAGAATAATTATAGTTTCCTCATTATCTGGCTTAAGGATGATGCAAAGTCACAAATTGAGAATCGAAATGTCCCAAAGCGGCTACCGCATTGCGATGTCGGATATTTCCCCTGTACTTTCATCAACATTAGCTTTTATACGCCATTTACCTCGGTGCTCTAATCTCCATTTTTATTACTTTATGCATTTCTCTCGCGAAGGCTCTTAAAACACTCCGCGGGCTCCTCGGTATGTATATAACAAATGTACCTTTCCCTTTATCCTGTTCCACTTTTGATAAAAACGACGCATAAAGCAAACCATATTATTTTTAACTGCGCTCTTGGATAGACATCGTTATAGCGGCAAAGTACACTTATTTAAAGACAATATTCGCGCGTGTACATAGCGTAAACCTAAATGGCGCGCATGCACTCGGAACTAACGGAAGGTTGGAGAATCCTTAAAGTAAATGCGCTCGCGGGGTCGAGAACTTACGAGCTTGTTGTTAGTAACTTCAGACTCGGTTTGCCGGGGTTGTTGTTCCTCGCGGTTTCGCCGCGCCGCGCCTATACCGCGAGCAACGTTGGCGGCGGGACAGATCCCGCGGGATGTTGCCGTCGAGGACTTACGGGCTAAGAGAATTCGACGTTAATGATTGTAGGGGAGCGACCATTTCCTGCGCTCGCCACATAATTGCTACCGTTGCAATCATTGTAACGCGGCAGTACAAACGAGGCTAGAGCGCGAGAAGAGCGGACGTGCCCGCGCGCGGGACGAAGGAAATGCATATACACGTGCAGAGTCGCGGCGGAGCACATAAACGTGGCGTTACGGGGCTTCGGGCCCGGTCGTTGTGCTACTACGTTCCGGGGGCACGAATTATGGGAGACATTTGCGCGGTAGTTATCGTTTTCGGGTTATTAAACCATTTATCTAACGCACACAGCGAGCTCCTTTAAATTCTCGGCCAATGGTGGTGCTGTGCGCGACGTGCCGCGGCGATCTCGCCTTCGCCTCTCTCTCTCTCTCGTCATCGCCTGGTTTGAAGATTAATATCTGTTTATGTTGGTATCGAGCGCATTTCACTGCACATTTTGCTTCCTCCGATACCATTCTGGAGATATTGGATAATACAATTCGAGGTAGGGACGATACGCCGACAAAAGATAAGATTCAAACAATGCACGGATACGCTTGTGTGTGTCTACTTTCGAATAAAATCATGCGAGTCAATCGTCGTGACTTGCAAATATAGTCTTTTATTTAGCATTTAAGCTGATTTAGCAATATCAATTAATTTAAATATATTTGCGAGCAACTTGCGTGAAAACTGTCGCGAAATGTTAACAGATTATTAATGTGGAAAAAATAGTGTTAAAAAACAAATATTATAAAATTTGTTTTTATGTTATTGTAAATGTGATCTTTTTACGCGAATTAACTTTTTGATATTGTTTTATATTAATAGTTTAAGAAGTAATTACGCTTTAAACATAGTTGTAATAGACAACTTATAGTATTAACACCGCCATTACGATAAAGTTTGTGATATTTACCTAACGTATATACCCAGCACGCGTTCGGCACAAATATCCATTAACATTTTGCGCTCGTGGAGAAGCCGCATTCAATGTATCGAAGATTGGTGTGTCGAACCATTAAAGTATTTGCTGTCGCTGCGAGCGAAGTGACATTTGAAAAACGGAATTTCCGCGATTTTTATGACTCGGCACTCTCTTGGCAACCCCCAAATATATTTCCAAATAAAGCTTTCACCACTCATCTCCGAGCTACGCTGCTGGCTGCCGCCGCGCCGAGGAGTAACAAAAGCAACAACGCGTTTCTGCGACGCGCGATACACGAGAGAACACGGTCGCGTCGCGGCTGTTCCCGTATTTTTTCCGCGATAAATCCATCAGCGTCGCGGCGCGATGCGCCTCTCGCATGCTGCGTACATACACGGACCACTCTCCGAAGTCGCGGACGAGCAATATTAAGAAGGGGAACGCGTACGCGTTCCGAGAGCGGGTTGCGAGGTCGGAACTTTCCGCGCGTTAATCTCGCATATACGTTGCCCCGACCCCGACCCCGTTTCTTGTCGCTTCAGCTGGCGCTGCGCGCGCCCCGGCTCGACCGGGAATATTTGACGTTAATGATTATAAAGTAACCGGCACCCTCCGCACTCATCGGCTAATTGCTCCGTTTTAAATGCCTCGCGACGTATGCCCGCGATGCCCCGTCGCACGGTGCGGCGCGTCGCGGCGCGACGAAGCGCCCGGGCAAGATTTACGAGTCAAACCGAACATCAGCGTGCCGAGACGATGAGGTTGTTACTACTTTTTGTCTCGTAATCTCCGACCGCGTTATTTTTATTTCAAATCTTAACGTCGTTAGCCTTGCGTAGAGCGATCGCCATAAAAGCTGCGAAGATTTTTTGGCCACGTTTGATACAAAAAGTCGAGGACACAGAGTCACCACAAATAACATAAAAATCGTGTGGCGACTGTCACAATCAGCGTTTTGGTACATGTTCTAGTTCCACGCCCCGCATCGCGGTGATGTTAAAAATGACCGGTAATTTTTTTCGGGTCTTTTCTTCCGAGGAGGGACAAAAAGAGGGATGTTATTACAGCAGTGATATTTTCTCGTTGTCGTAAACGTTCTTACTTAAGACGGTTGCGAATGGTGCATTGACTTTACAAATATTTACCGAGTCGATACGAGTATACATGTCGCGTTGCGTGGGTACGGTAAGGCATGTCGCAGTGACAATAATGCCGTGCGACGGTGTGGCGAGATTTGTCAGTGCGATACATCACATTTGGATGTGCTTCGCAATATTCGACAGATTTTTAGAAACGTATCTGGCTCACGCGAAAATTTGAGGAGAAAATTCAGCCGAGAATCATAAATATACTTACGACGCGAAAATGGGAAATATACGCACCTACGAATATTTTAACCAATTTGGAGTCGGGTTCGTCTCGATAGATGTAATGGGGTATCATTAATATTTAAACCGCAGTAACCGCACGCATGTCTATTAAGCTCGTACTTCGCCATATCTACGCAATAAATTAAATAACACGTTCTGTAATATGACAGTTCATATCAAGATTATATTAATGGAATTATGGAAAATAAAGGGAAAAAATAGAGGCGTTTCGTTGTGCGTTCTGTCTGCAGTACCTCTGCCTACACAACGTGGAATTAAACGAGACGTTAAAAAGGTCCGAATATTTATAAAGCGTGTTGGTGTTTTATGCGTGTCTCTGTTCCTACTAGAATTGCTTTGTACATATTTTTCTTTTTTACTCCGACCTGAGTGTGGTCTTCGGCGTCGCGGTAGGAATTCGCCAAGCCTTTTAGCCTTTTAGCAGGCAAATTATTTCAAGATAAAAGAAAGTCTGTGGGCATTCCGCGGAAATATTTTTTATTCTCTGTGAAGCTCTACTACCATTACGGTACATTATATATCCATTTCGAAAGGAGGAGATATACAGAGTATAACGCCGAAGAACATTATGCTTCATGTTTTACCGATAATATTTCGTGCCAATATCTTCAAACTCCTCTTAAATGATACATTTACGAGTAATAAAGGTCGATTAAGATCGTCGTTGCATTATTGTAACACGTGACTGTCTATTATTTCTCGTTAAGACTACCTTTCTTTACGATCAACAAGCATTGCGGGTGCATCTTGGTTCAATTGATCTAATAGGAATTAATTGTTGTTCGTTATTATATTGCCTGTGCGCCTCGTTCGTTTGCACGTGTGCTCGTAAATAAAATTTATGATTCTTATATTTTTATCCGTTATATCAATTAATATATTCGCGATGGTATACATGGTATTTAACTTTGCTGCGCTAGTATATATTCATAGCGATTATTAAGCTTGTCGGACGCTTGAAATATCCGCTTTGCCGCATGAAGAAAATGCACGTTTACGTTATCTAAACGCATATCTATGTACATTCGCAATTAAATAGTCTACGTATTACGCAGGCGAGACTCCATTCTCTCCAATTACCTGCGTCATAATAAAACGCGTTATTATATGATTAAAGAGTCGCGATGACTCTTCTTCCGCTGTTTAATTTTCCGTCTGAACGAAATAAGAGTGCTTATTTATCTTCGCGAACGTTCTCATCCGGTTTCGCGTTCACTCTACTTTCTCCTTGCGTCGACATATTTTTTATGAATCTGTCCGCACTTTTTAAATAACTTCGCACGATAACCGATAGGAATAATGATGCACTCAACCATAAAGCAAACTCGCAAAATGCATCTTATGCAAATCAATTGACTTAAATATTATATTTAATATCGATATATGTTTTCTATTGATTCTAGACATCTTACAAACTCAGCTATCCTACAAAATACTTTTTACTCTCACTTTGTTTTCACTTTTATTTTATTTATATACGCCCATCTAGATTATTCCGTAAGTTTGATCATAGCTTTTCAACTTCGACTTATGTAAACGATATAATAATGATATTATACATTTTCTTTCGATGTCTTGGGACTGTTGATGTCAAAACATGTTCCATAGAATTCTCGATGGACGTTTCATACAACCCTCTGTAAACGAAAGGGTGATATTATTTGCGAGCGTTTTGTCGAGCTCGCAATAACGTCAAAAGATATACACGAAAGAATTCGAAAGAATTTTTTCGGGTCGCTCTATTAATCTCTTTTCGCATGGGCTATTTATTCTGGAAGGGTTGCCGCTATTTAGAACCCTCGTCGCGCTAATATTTCTTCGCGCGAGGCACGAATGAAAGGGCCGGGTGCGACGAACCGAACTGGTCTAGATCTCAGCATTAGCGATGCGAGGATGCTTACACGTCCGTCTTCCGCGAGAGAGACGTTTCTACTCGACGTACCTCGGTCTCTCCCTCTCTTTCGTTTCGTTCAATTGCAGAGTTCCATTTAGGTCGTCGCTGTCTGCTTCCCGGAGATGGTCTGAGAACCAGTTCCGTAAACGCCCTAGCGTAAACGCGACTAGAGAGACTCCGTCGCTCCCTCTTGAGGCTGGGCATCCTTTTGGAACGAATAATTAGTTTTACCGTTTTGTTGTGTCCCTTAATCCAAACGTTGCCCGAAAACTTTATATTTACATAGGCGCGTCTAGATACTTTAAATTGACGGAATCACGGTTGAAGTATTGTACAATACTACAAGTTTGTAACTATTTGCTTTCAAATTTTTAATTATTATGATAAGTCAAATCTTACTTAGACGTCTTATGTCAAGAAACTTGTGATTTATTTTTTTGTTTTATTCGTTTAATATCTTGAATATATTTATTTATTTTTGTATACTTAATTTGTATTTTTACTACTAGCAAGTGGTGAAAAAAGAACTTAAGATTTTTTCTAATCTATTAATTTATATAATGATATAAAAATTATAAATTTATTAGTTTTAATTTTTTAATTATCTTTAGTTTTTTCACATACAATTTGCTTACAAGTTTATATGCCAAATTAATAAGTATGATTTATTGCTCTTAACTGGGATTTATGATCTTCATTTTACTTATAATTGATTCAGTTATTACAAAAACTATTTTCGTGAGGAATAATTGGCTTACGCGACTTGCGATATAAAATTTTATAAATTTTTTTATTTAAAACAGATACTGCTGAAAAAATGATTGCGCAGTTTGGAATTCATCTGCTTTTCTTTTGTGGCTTTTTCTCCACCATGATTCTCTTTGTCTAATTTAAATATATCGCTACGCGTTACACACCTTCTATGGCAATTCGCAATATGTGTGAGCTAGGTCGGCTGAAGGCCTCCATAATCATGGTGAAATAAGCTCGCGCAGCTGGCTCGCTATTGTCCTGTATTACGTAAACTTCACTACTCCCCACCTGCATTATGCACCGACTTGCAAACTCGCGCGCTGCAATTCGTGGACTCGTTGCCAGAAGCTCGTGCCCGGCATTCACAAAAATGAAAGCCCTTTCAGAAGTCTCTTAGAAGAGTCCTATAATGAACTGTGGAAGGAGATTGCCCGCGTTTACCTATTTTAGGACGGTGTTTCGAAATGAAGAACAGTTTTCTGCGCAAGCGTTCTTTCGCCCTTTCGTTTTTTTTCCGTTCTTCTTTTTATTCGCAACGAGCGCTGCACCCTCCACTTTACCCTCGGCTCGATACGCTGCATTCCGTAATTGCGTGCGAAACGAAAGTCTCAAAGTCGATAATTAAACGCCGTCGGTGAGACTCGCTACCCTTTCCCCGGGGATAGGGTGAGAGAGAGGAGTCAAAGGCACATAACGTCCAGGATTTGCCGACTTCGTTGTCCTATTTGCGCAATAATTTCGCGCGTGTAGCTTTTCCGCCGGCTGCATAAATGTCACGCTCGGTGGGTATGTTACGCCTTCGCTCGAGAGTTGGCAAATTGGATTAAGCGGTGTATCCGGGGGTTCAAGGAACTAATGGGTACCAGGGCCACCGGCTTCCGCTGACTATAAAGTTCGCTTGCTGGCTTGGCTGGTTGGCTGGCGCCTACGCCGATGCCGGAGGTAACAGCAGGCGGTGGTGTGATTTCGGCTGTAGGGACTAGCTCATGTCGCTTTAAACTGTCACGCGTTGACAGCGGTCTACCGCCGCAGCGGGGATATCTACCAAGTTTATTATCGCCGACGCAAATCCTGGTCGCGGCTTGGGCGCCACTGCGGTTCTTTTACGCGGATCAGAAATTCTCTCGCAGCTTTAGTGGCGGATCTAGCGCGTGGAAGCGCAGTGCGACGCGGGAAAACAAGGGTATATCTAGTATTTCTCTCGAGCGAAAATAATCCGAGGAGGGAAAACTTTTATCAAAAAAAATAAGAGATAAAGTCACAATGAACATTTCGAAAGTCACTTACTGCTCAACAAGTTTTTCCGAAATTGCGTTTCTTGTTTCAAAAACGTCAT